AACTTTATATTATTTTAATACAATCATTTTTATCAAATTTTTTTTCGATTTTTATATTAGAATGATTCTGAATTTGATTTTAAACAAATTACGATAAATTTAAGATATTAATATCGTTATAAAATTATAAAATATTCCATCATATATTTTATTTATGATTTCACATCGAAATTTAATCAACAAATTTTAATCACCAGTGATATTCTATACTGGTAATTGAGGATGATAAATGATAAGGAAATTGTGAATTCTTTTCGAGAACAAGAAAAGACAATTAAACATTAGATCTATTATATATCTCGTTTATCTTAAAACATCAAAATATAGAGAAAGAAAAATATTTTATATGCACTTTGTTTATAATTTATAATTTTACTTAATAAAATTTTTATGACAGTTGAAACTTTCATTAAAATTTTTAAACAAAAAGAGCACGTTCAAATAACACATCAAGGAAAAAGCATAATGCTGGTACTATGTTTAGTTTGCAAGTCTGTCTCTGACAGAACTGGAATAATATCCAAACTTTCGCTTTCCTCGAGGCTCGGTTTCCTAAAGAATAATTCTCTCAATAACGTCCCCTCGGTAGAAGGCTCGTCCAGATCATTTTTACCCTTGATCCGTACATTTTGTATCTGATACGACATGGAATCTTTATCGAATTCCTCCAAATTACTCCTACAATATATAATTAAAATGAATGCACAAAATTTAGCCCGCTCATTTTTTTTCTTCCATAATAAATAATTTCTCTTTAGAAAAAAGAAAAAAAGAAGAATTAAAACCTATCATCAAATTTTCCAATTTAATCGTACATCTACAACATTCAATTCGGTGTGTTCCCTTACGTAGTTATCTCGAACTCATCGGTTTGACAAGCTTGATGAGCCTTCCTCATGGTATCCTTGCTCCTTTCTAATTTCACCTCCTCGAGTAGTTCCTTTGTTCTTTGAAATTTACCCTCGAGTGCATTGGTTTCTGACTGCTTCTCGTCCAGAGCATTCTGCAATCGGGATTTCTCACTCACCAGATTCCTCACGGTTTGCGTAAGTTCGAGGAATTGTTTTTCCTGAGTGGCGATTTGCCGTGTCAACAACTCCAAGATACGTGAAATCCGAATCTTTAACTCCTTCGCCTCGACTCGAGCCTGTTCCAGCTAATAAAATATCATGAAACGTGATATATCGAACGAAATTCTTCTCTACGTTTCATTTATCTCGTAAAATATCAATGGTCAGTAAGCATTCCTTCGTGAATAAGCATGATTCTCGTTCAATTTTCATTGAAATTATATTTGAAAACGAATCAATTGATAATCTAAGAGCTTCGTACACTATTGACCTAATAGATCGAACTTTCTTTCATTTAAAACTACATTCTGCAATTAATGAACACTCCTATTCGACGTTTCGATATTTTAAATTGAAAAACAGGATCGTTTTGCAAAACTTCTCCAATTTTATATATATATATATATTTCTATCATGTCTATAAATAGTCACTAGATTCACAAAATCTACATAACAAAGAACGATTTTGATTTAAACTTATTTAATCAAGATTGAGATCTAAATTTCTATTTTATTTTATTTCTATTTCTTATATTTTTACGATCCAACCGTATGTCTAGTTATTTATCAACCATTATTATTAAAGTGGATTATAAAATTTTCCCTGAAGCAATTTATCATAATCTACTTCCCTTTCTTTCTTTTTTCCCTCGATTTTTTAACTTCTAGAAGTTTTAAACTTCGATCTTGCACTTTTATCGCGCTTTTTCTCTCTTTTCTTTTTTTAAGAATAAAATTTTTTTGTAAGAATAAAATAGACGAAGAGGTGGAGGAATGGTCACAATTTAATCAAGCGTGAACGACATTACTTGAAATTCTAATTGTTTCTTCTCGGTTTCACGACGATCCAGGGATTTCTTATACTGATTCCTCATTGCTTCCTTTTCCGATTCGCTCACCGCCAGCTCCGACTTGGCGTCCCGCATTTCCTTGGTGCATCTGCGCGAAAAACAGCGTTCTATCACCTGTTTCCCGGCAAAATATCGTTGAAATATCGCGGGGAATTACGAAAAATTTATGCGATGCTTTATACGCGAAAAACGTCATGCGGTCGATTTAATTCACGAAATGAGAAACGAAAAAGGAAAAATTCGCTCGCTTTATCCAATCTTTATTTTCTTTTAATAGAATCACAAATTTGAACGTGCGCCAATTCCCTTAACACGTTCCCTTTTTCCCTCCGAGCGTTTAAATCGCTCGTGTTAATTACGCGACTCGAAACTGGTATTTTCGACCGGCGTTTCGAAGGAGGAAACGCGGCCCAGGCATGCGATCGCCATTATCTTAATTAAGATCGAGTGTCTGACTTGCATTCGAATATGCGGATGTTCGAGAAGAAAAATCTGGATTGATCCGTTGGGGGCGAGGAACGTGATTGGTTCCCTGGGACGGGATTCTCTCGATGAACGAGAAATCGCGCGGTCAAACTTTTAATGGCCGCCTCCCATTTGTAATCAGTTTCAGTGACAAATATTTCATCATGCTGGTATATTAGTAACAGTTGGAAGCGATCACGCGCGGTGAAATTTATCCGAGGTGTGCATATATCGTTGGGATCGATGACGGAGAGAAATGTACGGGACAGGGACGAAGAAATAGGAAACGGGAATGATAAAATGGTTGGAAGGAAGCTATAATAGAGATTTATTTCCTCGTGGCGATAAATGTTTATTTAAACTTGGAGTAATACCGGGCAAAGAAATATTGATGTATTAGGTTGATGCATGCGGAGTGTTGTTTCTTCGAGGTTTGAGTTTGATAGCTTCAGTTAATAACTGTTTGTTATATTTTCTTCTACTGTTTATGATTACGAATTATTACGTTTCTTTTAAAGAGAAATTTGAAATGTGAAATATAATCAACAAAAGGGATTACATCAAAATTTTGATAATTTAACGTGTTAACTATTTTATATATTGGTATATGATATTCCAGAACGATGAACGTTATCAATTTTCATTAAATTTTTCTTAAATATTCGTAATAAATAACAAAAGTGCATAATATAAAGAGTTATCAACTCACATTTCTTTTTTATCTCTTTCATTTTCTTTTTCATATTCTACAAATTAATATAACTTATAAAAATGTTTCTTTAAATGCGCGGTAGCGAATGTGTTAAATTTAAAGTATCAATAATTAGCGATACTATTTCGAATATATGTACAATATGTACAACGTTTCGAAAATCCCTAATGTGATTTATGAGATTATCCGATTATATATTATCCAATTAAATAGGAAAATACGATTAAAATTTTATAAAGAAAATTAATTACCTATTTGATAGAAATGAGCTTCGATATTGAAATATAATAATGATTAATTGAACGTAAAGTTGCAATTGAATGCGTGTACGGCGATATAAATTGCGGAGGGAATTTACTTAATTAATTGTTTGACCAGTAGAGCTATCCTCTTCCTATCAGCGGGACAGAGATCTTGGATATGAGGGAACGAAACCGAGTTTCCATCCACGTCTTCCCCTCTGCATTTCCAGCAGGCTTCCTCGTCAGCTTTCACCTCCTCGCTCTCTGTCGAGATCGTTTGTCTGCTCGAAGATTAAACAGTTACTTAAATGTTTCTTTATATTAAGAAATTGACGTCACAGCGGTCAGGCCGATGCAAGCAACACAAAAGGGATTTTCTCTCGAAATGTATTTCTCGTCTCGACGCGATACGATGGAAACGAAGACGAAGAGTTATTCCCACACGAGTTATCTCTGATAATTTTAATTTTAAAAAGAAAAGAAACGTAAAGAAATATCAACGAAATTTAAATTTTCCACGAACGAAACTTCTTTTACTTGTGTATCTTTTTCAATTATTATAGCTCGAGATAAAAGTAAGAAAGATGAATACAGTAGATTAGATATTTCCAATCTAAAAAATAATTTTACCGACCCGTGAACGAAACAGATTTAATTTACATACCGAATCAATTATATACCGCAATTGCTAAATAATAATGAAAAGTTTAAACACGACGAATGGAACGAATCGAGGGAGGAATCCAGCGTTTCAACCGACCCCAACAATGGACCGATCGAGGGAACGTGTAACGAAATAAGTAACGAAGTAACGTGTACCGTGCTTGAATCGTACTTTAACCTAGTTATCGTCATACGGTCGGGATTAGTTCAATTCCGTGTACGGACCTTGGTCGTCGTGATGCATGTACTCGTTCTCCTGATAAATCCGGAGGGTACGTTGATGAAGTCTGGCCAGTCTGCACAGAACGAATTCGTGAAATCGAATCGTGGCCGTGTCTCAATTTCGCGGTCGAACGTGATGAACCGATGCACATGTGCGACCCGTGGCCGAGAGAAACAAAAAAGAAACGATGAAGAATGGGAGAGAGGTGACGTTGTACCTTTTACTCCATCTAATATAGGAATTCATAAGAGTACCGTCATCGTAGTCGTTCGAATACATGCCCGGCAGACATTTCTTCCCGTTGGAAAGTTGGAAGATCGACGAGACGACTTTCGAGCCCTCGATTTTTTCCTGGACGCGGAAACACGCAGCTTCGAGAAAGGGAAACGATTCGACGCCGTCCAGAGAGGACTCGATGCTCGGTGGTCGACGGCCTGAAGTTAGACTCGTATCGAGTTTCTTAACTCGACGCTCTGCGGCGATAAGGAAGAGGAGCATTTTTCTTTGGTAGGGGGGGGGGGGGGGGAAGCGGACCGATGAGATATTAAATCGTGGATGAAAAACGATGAGATGATATCCGCGCGAAGAAGAATTGAACACCGTGGGATTTTTAAGTCGAATCAGCGACGCCATTTTTATCTCGTCTTCTATTTCCTTTTGTTTCGTTCCTCTTGTCCCTTGAAGAAGAAAATAAGGAAGAGTAATGAAAAAGAATTTAGAGGAAAGAGAGATTGAAGGGATTTATATACGTGGGATTTATATATCTGAATTTTATTCACAAAAATCGGTGCGCTCATAAATGTACATATTTGTCGCAGTCTTTGTTCCCGCGAACCATATCGACGCAATTTCACATAGGTTACTTTTTGTTGCGTTTTTAATGATTAATCTCGATGATGTTCGTGCACTCGAGAAAAACGAAAGGATAAAAATTGGACGACGAACGGACGAGATGCACGTTGAATCCCAGGATCTTCTCCCTCCTAGATCCTAACTCCAAGGATGCAAATATATTAAACGTTGTCTCGCGAATTGTTCTCGAAAAATTGTTTCTCGCAAGTAGATGTCAAAAAGTAAAAGTTCTCTGTCGTCCATTGTCTCGATTATTCGTTTACAAAATGTTTGCTTTTCGAGAGGACAACTGTCAACACGTCTTCGACACGCTCAAATATATTCGCATTCTGAGGATAAAACGCGAAAAAACGTTTAATCGAAAAGTCTGGTTCATAGGGAGAACACAGGGATCGGATTGGTCGCTGAATCATCACAGTCCTTTCGATTTTAGCATTCACGATTGATCGGTTGCTCCGTGCTCCGTCGAGTTTCGATGGCTTCTCAATCCGTCCTCCACTCCGTTCGGACATCCGGTCAGGCTAATGGTCGTTTCCTGTTCCTTGATCGGGACACTGGTCCTGGTATCGTTTCCAAGGATCGACATGTGCATCACGCTCCGCTGCCCTCGCCTCGAGTCGTACCTTCTCGAGCTTATTAACGAGAAACTTTGACCCCGTCCCCGTGAGCTCAAGTCGGATGACCGACGATGTCGCCTCCGCATCCGCCTTGGCACGCAACAAAGCAGATACCTGCGACCAAGTTTCGCTTAATTTTGACGATAATAGTTTAACGACTTTGCTCTATTATACGCTGGTAATAACGTTACTTTCCTCGGTTTAACGATAATAAGGAACAATCGGCTATTGATTATCTTGCTCGAGTTTGCACGTTAAACGAGCGTGTTTAATTATTCGTAATAGGCTTTGCGTTTTTCGAGTCGGAAAGATAAATTTGGAAAGTAAACTTTGAAAGTTTGAACGTGTAATTAATCGTTTTCGAATTATAGAGAAAGAGAGAGGGAGAGGAAGGGAATGGTGGCGCGAGAGTAAAATTAAAGCAAGTCGTTAAAATCATATATGGGGGATGAAATTGAAGTTTGAAATAGTTTGGTATAGAATAACGATGTGAAAAAAAAAAAAAAAGTCAATTTTATATTATATTTCAAATTCTATCCCAGGTAGGCAATAAATATTCATAGCAACGACCGAATTCGTTCGAATTTCTCGCGGAAATGATTTTCATCCGAAACCGTGAAAATGTGCGGCTAATTCATGGGGGAGGTTATTCGTGTAACTGAATAGAAGCGGAGAAGCATTGATTATGCGTTAGTCGGGCAATTTTTACTCGTATTGATAATAATTTGTGATACGATTCATTCTTTAAATAAGATTATCCCGTAGGCGTTAAATTGCTGCCAAAATTTTCTCCTGATATTTCGTTTTCGAAATGGCGATAACTCTCCACGAACCGTGAATATTTAAAAATCGAAATTGATTTTCGATTCGTTCTAACGAGACACGATTTTCATTCACTATATACGATATATATATACGATAAATCGAGGAAATCGAGGAAATGTTTTTTTTTTTTTTCTCGTTGAAAATACCTGTCGAAGTATTTTCTGAATGTACTGCTCACGCAGTACAAAGCGATAGGATTGATACAACTATTGGTGAACGCTAGGCAAAAACCGAGGATCCGGAAATAATGCCAAAAATCGTTGTAATCCTGCTGCGCCGTTGGATGGATGTAAAACCACAGCATAAACACATGTTGGGGGAAGAAGCACACTGCAAAAACAATCACGAACGCCATCACCATTTTCGCCACCTTTTTACGCGCTTTCACTTGTTTCACCTACAATCAAAACGATACAACATTATAAAAGATGATATACGATTTTGCAAAAAAAAAAAAAAATAACTATCTCACTTTTTCCTCTCGTTAAACAACAATTTTTCTTTCACCAACCGAAAAATTTGCTCTGAACTTTACTTGCCTATTTAAAAAAAAACCTTCATATATTAAACTTTGCAAAAATTATTGGAAAGAATCGATGAGAGTGGTTGAGTTTTCTTAACAAACTGATAGTTCCTTCGTTAAGTTTAATGGGAATTGAAGGCTGTTATAACAATCGGAAGGAACGATTATGCAAATTCAAAAATTGGAGAAACTTTCGTTGAACTTTTTTAATGGTATATAAGTTTTACAATATATAACTTTTATATAAGTTTTATTTTACCTGACATTGCATCTCACCGGGTATGTTCCTGGTGCTGCGCATCAAGTGTCTGGCCATTAGGATGTAGAAGAACGCGATGATGATGAGCGGCACCGCGTAGTAGATGAAGAAACGGCAGACCAAGATCGTTTTTGGATAATTCGGCCCGAATTCCGGGGGATATGGGTAGCAAGCCTTTGAACAAAAATTACCAGAACTGAAAATCTACGGTTTCGATAGCTCGATTAAACGTGTTTAATTCGCATAATAAAATGGAACGACGAGTTGATCGTTGTTGCCAAGAACAACAGCAAGAAACGTGTAATAGTTAAAAATAATTAAACCTTAATTGCCTTATGGATGCTGAACTCACGCGAAAGCTAATACTGCTGTTCACTTTGAAGACCCTGATGTAGGAGAAGGAACCGGGGATGGCGCACATGATTGCCAATAGCCAAATCAACGCGGCTACTATCACAGTGAATCGGGTTGCTCGTTTTCCAGTACCTTGAACAAATAAAAATCGAATAACCGATCACGTTCTCGATCGTTCGAGTAGTTTTCTTCTTGTGGAAACACTCTACCTAGACTATTACATTATCGGTAACACGATGAAAGAGAAAAATCTTGTAAGCAAATATTCGTGGAAATAAAGATTGGGGGGGATCCTCGTTACTTTTTAATCGTCTACGTCTATTAAGTTATTTTCGAAGGAGGAAAGTTGAAAACTTTCATCGATTTCTTTGCTCGAATCCGTTTGAACATTTTGCACTTCATTCTCATCGCGAAAATTCCCCTTTAACTGCCTGCGACCGGAACTTAAAAGACTTAAGGACAGGAAAATGGGAAATCGAAACTCGTACCCGTGGTGTGAAACTTTCTCATTGGATCCACGATGGCGAAGAATCTGTCCGCCGATAGAGCCGTTAAAGTGAAGACGGAGACCCCGATCGAGATATCCTTGGCGCACTCGGATACCTTGCAGAGCACGAGCCCAAATGGCCACGAATCCAGGATATAAACGGTGAACGTGAATGGTACGCACGTCATGATCACCTGTGGTGTGAACCAAGTGTCAGAGAAATCGAATAGACTATTAAATACCGCAGAGGTATTTTTAAAAATAAGCTTTTATTTTTAAAAATAAGATCTTCGCGATCTTCGCGAGAAAAATTAAGATTCTTCATTGTGTAACTTTTATTCCTTTTCTCTCTTTCTCTCTCTTTCTCTCTCTCTCTCTCTCTCTCTCTGTCGTAAGAGTAAAAAAGCAATGGAAAAATTTCAACAGCTAAATGAGAAACGTGTGCGCGAAACGAAATATTATGGAAGGTGAATTTTTTTAAAAGAAATTATCTCAAGAAATAAGAAAGGTTGTAAAATATCGTAGAAGGTAGGAATTCATCACGAATAAGAATAAGAATAAGATGGAAGATTATCGGCCTCGACGAACGAGGGATAAGTTTTCACCACGATAAAAAATGAACACGTGCCAAGAGATCCCCAAGCGCCAACGAGAAGACATAAATATTGGGAACGTTCCTCATGTTACTGTGCCTCAGTATGGTGAGCGCAAGCACCCCGTTTCCGGTGAGCCCGATCAGAAGAATCAGGAGGAACACGATCGGCACGATATAAGTTTCCGGCCGATCTTCGTACGGCACGTACTTCTCCCCCATGCTCAATTGTTCCTCATCCTCTTTCAACACCATCTGATCGATCACACCGTACATACTGCCTATGCTCGTATAATCCGTGGTCGAGGCAATCGCGGAAGTGACTCTGAGGACAGACGAGGGGGGCGGTGTCGTCCGTGACGGAGGGAACAACGGAGATACGGTGGTTCCAGCTCTCAACATATTTTTGTTCATCCTTTCACCAAACTCTTCGCACTGGTCACCAGCACTATTCCGGAAATGGATGATCGCTCGCCTTTCATATCTTCCTGATCGCGTTCCTCCCCGGCCAATGGCCAATGGCCGCAAGGCGGTTCACCAGCTCGCTCCTCGCGGAGGAGAATCTCTGCTCCCTGGAAATTGGGAAAGAAACGTGTTAGCCAAAGTTCTCGGCAAATGGGGCGGAATATCACGGTAAATGGGGAAATGATTCACGGGGAGACGCACGGTGAGAGCCATTTACCTCGCGGAGGGGTAAAAGGCGAGAAGGAAATTGCACGGATTGAAAGAGACGCGTGTAATTTTTCAGCGAGAAGCTTAAGCTTCTCTTTTCTTGTTTTCTTTTTTCTTTTTTTTTTTAGAAAATAATACGAAAAGATAAAGGTGATAAGTTTAATGTCAAAGTAGATTTATATTTATAAGAGGAAAGGGAGACGGGGGGGTTTAATAAGCGTCTCGATACGATGATTCTTTGGAGACGCGCTCGCCATGAACTAAGTCCAATTTAATGAGAGTTCCGTTGCTCATTCTATACTGTGCATTATATAAAAAAGGTTATCGATAAATTCGCAAAGCACGAGGGGAAAAAATGAGAGAAAGAGAGAGAGAGAGAAAGAGAGAGAGAGAGAAAGAGATAGGTGTAGGAGTGCATTTCTGTCGCGATAAAGAGTTACACTAATTCACGGTGCTACGTGACCTCGTTAACCAAGAATTTTTAGCCTTTAATACTTTCTATTACCGTGCCTCCAGCGTTTTACGAGTCGTGAAAGAGTCGCTTAGTTTCTTGTAACCTCGTCGAGATCGACGGTTCTGTTCCACCAAGTCTCAAACTCGCGCGTCTACCCTTGCGTGGGCAGAGCTTTTTCATTCCCCTAAGACCTCAAGACACGGTCGATGCATGAAGATAAGAGTACTCCAAACCCTTGAAATTTCTTTGAAAACAATAATGACTGTACGCGCGCGCTATCAGATTTCTGCTCAATTAGAGAGTTCCAGCTTGGGGATATCAGCTTGGAAATACTTGGGTTTAATTTTAGTCGTTAATGATAACGGTCGTTTCTCGCATCGCCATTCTGTAATTTATATATTTTCTCGGAAATTAAGATGCGAAAGCTTCAAGATTTTAGATGGAATTCCACGAATATTCAAAATGGAGGAAACGGTAATGATTCTAAAAATTGTGTGTTCTAAAAATGTGTGCATTTCCTCGATCCTCTATTTATTTTGGTACGATATAATACCGGAATTAAATGGGTCAGGATCACAATAGAACGAAGGATATTAAGCTAGGGTTAAATGGGACCGCAAATTGCGAAGTTAGATATTGAAATAAAATAATTTCATTTCTCGACGTCCTCCCCCGAATGAGATTAAATTTCAAACGTATTGGCGAATTGTTATTTAAATATTATTTATTTTTCCACGTGAAATAAGCTCTTAATCAGGAGAGGAATTTATATTCAGAGGTTCCATCGTTGTTCCATTGTTGTTGTTGGAAAAATGAATACTACACTAGACTATTCCCTGTATTCTCTTGCAGGCAAGTTTCCTCTTTTGTGAACTGAATAATGTTTCGCTCCGCGAGAGACAATGAGATCTCATCAGACAAAGTTACAATTGTACTTTTGGCGAAAGAATTTCATATCTCGAAACGGAAGTCATACTTGTGAAAATTTGTCGACTCGATCTCTTGAAAAAACTCTTGATACAACTCAGTTTTCATAAACTCCCGTCCAAAACTTTACACGGGATTCGTGCTATATCGTTTTAAAAACGGATATTATGAAACCCTAGCAAATATTATTTCTACAAGAACAATCTTGAAAAGTTTTAACCAATCTCGAAGCGATTGTACACACATCGAACGGCAGATATATCACTTCTTAAATCATGGTTCAAATTGCAAGAAAGATATTTTCTATTTTCGATTTCGCGAATAAGAATAATTTGTTCCCGAGGAATTACTTAAAATTGCTTATTTAATCCATTTCAATTCGCTGATCCCGTGCAAAACATGGCACGATATCACACGATCAAATCGACTCACCACTTTAATTCACCCCGACAATTTCACGCTGTGATACGCTCCAACGCCTTTATCTTTCAAACTTGACGCGCAATCTCGGCCGAAGATGGAAGATCCTTCTTCCACGTTCGAAATCGAACTATAATGCATGCGTGTGTACACGAGGTTTCAAAGCCATTTTCTCGTTATTTTTTGCCAAATGGATTTTACGACACGCGAATGGAAGGAAGGAAGGAACGGTTCGATAAAGCTTCCTAGGATCGGTAAGCCTATAAACCTTTTTTACGGATTCAATCGCTACAGGCTAGACCGATATACGATTGGATGCAACGTTACAACGATATTTATTCTCGGCGAAGACACGTTACGACGACTGATCCTATACAAAGATAGAGGCAGCAGCTCGTAAATCGGGAACCAAGACATTTAGGATCATTAAATGGGGCTAAGCGCGATACCGGCCCCGATTGGATTAAACACGATTACACAGTGGTCTGGCTATCACTTTGCGGGCACACGTGTGTTTTTCGTTTGGATTAATGGAACGAGGTATGCGCCATTCAAACGTGTCGTAATTTTCGAACAAATTGTAATCTGAGGACGGCAGTGACGTGATCGTCTCGACCAAATCGAGATCGCGAGGAAACGAACGACGAAAAAACCACGACGTAAGTTTTAATGGAACTTTCGTGACCAGAACTTTGGGAAATATGATAGGGTTATTAGGGTGGCAGATTTTTTCGTGAGGGTAATAGATGACTCTTGTGAATCGCGATCGTTATTCGGGAGAGGCATTAAGTACGTAAGTTGGAGGAGCGAGAATGTGTTTGCATAAAAACGAAAAAACGAGATCAAACTTCAGAAATAGAGAGTGACGCGAAAACGAGTGAAGAAATGTCCGTATAATCGAGTTACCGCCGTCCGTTGCAGCTGTTACTAAAAGCCTGTTGTTCAATCTACCAACGCGAATGAAAATCACAATTTGAAACGTGTTGGAAATATCCCTCCAAAACATTCTCTCTCGCTCTCTCTCTCTCTCTTTTTCTCAATTCACAATTACGGTTAATAAAATTCTTCATGCAATTTCCAATCCACGGGAATGAAAATATTGGTTTCACTTCTCTCCTATTTGTAAATCTTATTTCTTTCAGTGGTTAACTTTTCTGGAAAGCTTTGCGAAACGTGTTATGCACCGCGTCGAATTGTCATTAACGTCATTTAAGCTTCGATTATCGATTTACTTTTTATCGTTCGATGGCGTGGTTCTATAAAAGTTTCGCCTCATCAGCCCACTCGCGTCACTTCCTTTCGAAAGGAAAACGAATCGAGGGATATATCGGTATTTGGAATTTTTTTTTTTTTGTGTGTGTATTTAATCTTTTTAATTTTCATCGAAATTCTATGGCTATTATTTTCGAATTTTGCAAGAGAATCATTTGTGTATTTAATTTTTATGTAAAGTTGAACGAATGTAACTATTCTCTGAATAATTTCCTCGATATTTTTACATTTGTGGAGAAAAAATAAAGCTTATTTTTTTATAGAATTAGTTTCATTCTGTTGATCGAGGTAAACTCATTTCGTTTTTTTTTTTCTGCATTTACCCGTAATTACTGAACGAATTAATTACCACAGAAATCTTTGCCACACCATATTTTCTGGATATTTTAATGATAAATCACTTGGCCATCAACGCATGGCGTTGTACACGTGTGTTGGCTAACAAGTTTTGATAAAACGCGGTGAAAATCGATTAATTATCACGACTGAAAATTCTGATAACGTACGCGTTCCCCTTCGTTTTATGATTCCCTATCCAAGTGAAATTGAAATGACCAACTGCCATTCTTTCCAATACTATCGGCATGAAACGAAATAATAAAAACGGGGGGCTAGTTTAAACAATGATTTGTTATTTCGAAAAAAAGGAAAAACAACTTTAAACTATCTCCTAATCTTTTAAAATCTTGTCAAAAAAATAATTTCGAAATTTTTCAAACGGGGATGGAGAAGAAAAAATCTATTTATATACAAATACTGGTAAATTAACGAAAGATTGGATATTGAAAGAAATGAGAAGAAGTATCTGTAGCGCGAATCATGGGATCATAAAAGGGTTTTAACGACTTCCGATGATCGTTTTCTCCTATGAAAAAAGTATCGTAAGATTGCATGGCGACCACTAATTGGGGCGCCAGGAAAATAATCAAACATCAGACACATGGCCCGTTAGTCTCAATTGCGCTCGATAAATAATTGCCCGTTTCAGTCGACGATATAGAGTATGCGATATCGAGCTGCAAAAACTTTGCTTTTTATGTTGCAAAAAATTAAATCGAATCTCTGCATCCGAAAATATTTGTATTAATCTAAATATTAAACTAACTTGGAAAAATCGTGAAAACTAAAAATACGAATAAAAGATAAATACTTTTTTCTTCCCTTTTATTTTCCCTAGTAAATAATTGATAATAATTTTTGTACCATTTTTTTATCGTTATTATTTTAGCAATTTATGATATTATATGACAATTTTTTTAATATAATTTAATACTAAAATCTATACGTATCGAATTTGATCGTCGAACATGTACGTTGAAATTGTTGACACATAAAACAAATCTAGATTTGTCGATTCCTCTTTTCCTATCTTTCGCTGTTTGAAACTGAGTAGATAACTCCACTCTTTTAGCGACTAACTCTTCTTCACAAATTTGGCCGAGTGGTAATCTCCGGATAAAACTAAACTGGTTTTAAAAATCTTGTGAAATTGATTGAATGGTCCAAAGAATCATTCTTCTATGTTTGCTAGAAGTCTAAAAAAAAAAAAAAAGATCCGATTACCTGGCCTTTCTTGGATCCAAAGCTAATACCATTTCAACCGTCTAAGAATAGAATAAAATAAATGTGTATATACACATTCGTGAATGATTCGAAAAGAATAAGAATAGAATCCTATTATATTTTATTTAGAGAGTAGGGAAGAAACGTAGTAGTAGTTATGCTTTAATCAAGGATAATGATCAATAAAGAATGTGATATTTTTTGAATTAAAAGAAAGAAATAAAAACGAAACACTCTTATACTAGGGATTAGATTAAAAACAAA